TTTAACTGTAGTATAGTTACCATTTAACTGTAGTATACTATACTACAGTTAAACGGTAACTATAGTAGTATAACTGTGGTATAGTTACCGTGTAACTGTAGTATAGTTATTAGTTACCATTTGACTGTAACTGTAGTATAGGTCTCTTATACACATCTAGATGTGTATAAGAGACAGGCTGAGCGCTGTTCATTGCAGTTTTTTGAAGTTGCGCGTGTCTGTGAGGTGGTGGTATGCTGCCGTGCAGCACCGCTTCAGAAAGCTGGAGTCGTTGAGCTTATGAAGAGGAAATCCAAGGAGATGACCCTCGCAATTGGTGATGGTGCGTACGTGTGTCCTGTGCGCAGAAACTGAAAGCAGCGTCTTGGAAAGGACCACCTTTCTCCTCCTCCTCTTCCTCCTCCTCCTCCTCCTTGTCAGCAGAAACTGAAAGAAACATCTGGGAAAGGGCCACCTCTCTCCTCCTCTTCTTCCTCCTTCTCCTCTCCTCCTCTTCCTCTCCTCCTCTCCTCCTCTTCCTCCTCCTCCTCTCCCTCGTCGAGCAGAAACTGAAAAGAAGTGTTTGGGAAAGGACTACCTTTCTCGTCCTCCTCTTCCTTCTCCTCCTCGTCTTCCTCGTCTTCCTCGTCTTCCTCGTCTTCCTCGTCTTCCTCCTCTTCCTCCTCTTCCTCCTCCTGTGGGTGGTATGTCAGCATGTAGCCCGGGTTGTGAATCGTTCATTTTTTTTTTTTTTTCAATTCCTTTTTTCTTTTTTGTCAGCAAGGGAGACAGCCCCTTAAGATACCATTCTCGAACTGACCGTCCCCGGGTAAATTGACAGTTGTTTTCCCTCGTCTGATTCCACCGGGATTCGAACTCAGGTCTGTATTTCTACTATTTCAACAATTCATGGGTGTACCAGCTGAGCTAGGCCAGTTGGTCCACATTGCGAGTCGGAGAAATCAGGAGTTGCTGCAAAAAGACGGGCCTAGCTCAGTTGGTAAGACCCATGAAGTGTTTTTGAAATACAATAGACCTGAGGTCGAATCCAGATGGAAAAAAAAGGAGTAGTTGCAAAAAGAAGTTACAGAGGCAGAGACAAATCCCCTTTGCTTATTATCACATAGTGGTGATGCCTTCACCCCCTCTAGTAGCTGTCTCTTATACACATCTAGATGTGTATAAGAGACAGCCCGAGGAATACAACGTACGGTCATTATAGCTGTATCTGGACTGAAAGATGCCTCAAATACAGCTATAATGACCGTACGTTGTATTCGGGGGAAGAAGGT